GTCTCAAGTGACTTTATAATTTCAATTTTGCATCAAAACCTTAAAAATAAGCCATTTTTGCTACTTCCGGTTTGACAGGAAGTGACGACGACGGACGGAAAAAATACTTTTTATGCTCCCAGAGACATATGTGACCCAAAAACTTGTCGAGAACGGCAAAAAAACGTGTTTTATGACTACTTCCGGTTTGGCCGGAAGTGACGACGCCGGACGTATTTTGACTCCCTCAGTAAATTGAGCTTGACATTATAAACAACTTTGCTTCTTTGATGTATTACAAATTCTCAATGCTTTTTGAGATATAAAAGAAAAACGTTCGACCACTCTAGGCCCTTAATTTTAGGGGCCAGCCCTTTTTTCGAGATATCATTTGAAAGATCTTGGGATTCTACACTTCTTTTGTTCTATATGTTTTAACAAAATATTTCCAGGTAAAAAGATATCGTAGAAAAGGTGTCAATAATTTTGAAATTCGCGAAAGGACAATTTTTGGGCCATAGCCAGCGCCGACGTGCGGCACTTCCAAAAAAATGAAATCATTTTCCCATATCTACAGACTTAAGACTATCATACCGGAAAATTTCACGTTTCTATGTATAGCCATTTCTGAGAACGTTGGCGGACAACCTGACCACTCAAAAATCGCAAAATCGACAATATCTCCAAACCGGAAGTGACGTCATCGAAATCGAAAAAAGATGCACAAGGTTCAAGTAATGTTACATAAATCCTGAAAGTTTCATGGAAATCCATCGAGCCGTTTCCGAGAAATCGCGTGCACAAAATCGGTAAGAAAAAAAAGAATAATAATAATAATAATAAAAGTGAAAAAGAAATCTAAGAATAACAATAAGGTCTTCCGCTGAAGACGGAAGACCTTAATAAAAATAGTGGAAAAGAAACCTAAGAATAACAAGAAGGTCTTCCGCTGAAGACGGAAGACCTTAATAATAATAAGAAACAGAGTAAAAACAATATGTTCCCCAACTTCGTTTGGGGAACATAATAATCTACTAGTAGGGCTGGGCAAAAATATCAATATTTCAATATATTGCAATACAATGACAAAAAATATCGTATTGAAATACCTTTTTGTAATTTCGATATTTCGGCAAAATTCTTAGACTAAGGAATTTTAACATTAAGTATAAAAATAAATGTTAGAAAGGTTTGTTATGAAGCCAAACAGTAAGACAGAAGCTGTATTATGGGTGTATTTCAGAGCACAGCTTAACAAAAATCAACAAGATTTTTTTTGGGGGGGGGGGGTAAATTATCATAGTTATGTACATTCTGCATATAAATGAAAGTTAATATAAGAAGAAAATGCCATTTTATTTTCATTAAAAATATTGCAATATATATTGCAATACAATTAAAAATATCGCAATATATCGCAATACGAAATCTCTGGCCAATACCCAGCCCTATCTACTACTGTTGAACAAATGATACTGTTTACTTTCTTTTATTCGATATGTATTCCACTTTTTATTCCATGCAACTCCATTTACAGGCATGTCAATGTTGTCTACATGTATTTCTGTACTTCTATTGATTTCTACATCAGACCATTTGTTTACTATATACTAATGTCGCGCCAAACGTTACAAGTAGTTCTTAACGCTATACCTTTGAAATGTCTATTCTACTGAATGGATGTGATAGCTTATGAATAGAAAAGAATGTTCTTATAACCGGAATTTCGAGCTTTGGAAAGTGTATTTATCACATTGTACAAATATCATATCGTACAACAACCAAATAACACTAAAGCAGTGAATTCAGTAAGATTTTTCCATGAATTTTGTATCCTATTTACTAATTTTCTATCATTCATGAGTAAATTCAGTTGATTTGATTATCAAGGGTCTTTCTCTTACTTTTATCATTTGAACTTAGAAATTTACAAATATCAGGCTTGGATTTCTCGAAAAAATCTTAAGTTTTTACTCAAGTTCAATCTCAAATCCTGAGAAAAAACTCAGCTAAGATTTTTCTCAAATCGCGTTTCTCGAAAGAAACTCAGTCAGATCTCAGCTAAGTTTATTTTTTTTCTCAACTGAGTTTTTTTCAACGTCGCATAAGCGGCCTTGTTCTTTACTTCCGGTTATAGTATCCAATGTAAATCATCGTCTGCAACACCATAAAGCGCCAAAAAAATGGAAGAGACAACGTCTAAGACACCCCGCCGGCCAAACTGGACCAAGAAAGAAAAACTAGCTTTGGTTGAGGCGGTCCGATGACGTGAGGACCGCCTCTTCGATAAGATGAAGGGGCCGGGGGGTGTCAAAAATGTCAAGATAAAAGAGGAGGCTTGGGAGGAGGTGGCAGAGGCGGTGAATGCTTAAGTACCACGTTGCAATGTATTTTACAGGTGCCTAATCATGAAACATGTGAAAATATATAGCCTATATATGCATAAGTAAAATGCATTACTATTGTTTTAATGGAAAACGATTGCCTCGGATTTTTTTTTTTAAGAATTAGAGTTATTCCTCTTATTTGCTATAATTAGTTTTCAGACGTACATTGTATCAAGGGGAATTCCAATTTCCAATGTCTATTTGGATTTTCTTCTGTTCTGTGTTAGAAATGTATGGGTTGATAATTGTTGAGCAAGTATGAACTAATAATCGAGGTCAATCAACATTATAAATTACATGGAAGCATACATGAAACCATGTAATAAGTTATTTAATTAATTTTTTTCAAGAAATGGTAGTGTACACATATACATCATATCCAATTTCATTTGATTTTCTGAAAAAAATATATTATTTGGCATCACACCTTTATAAATGAATTGTCTTTATTTACTGCTAAATTCAAAAGGGACGTCTTTTCTTTTACAGTATCTCAGAGACAATGAATAGAAGTACTGAAGAAGTACGAAAACAGTATGCAAATATCAAGCAAAGAGGTAGGAATTATTTATTCCTTATCGATAAGAAATCTAAAATCTACCCTAAATATTAATACCTATATGAAATGATATTTATGTTCCCCAAACGAAGTTGGGGAACATATTGTTTTTACTCTGTTTCTTATTATTATTATTATTTTTCTTCTTCCTGGGAAAATTTTGTCCACGAGTGATCTTGTAAACTACACATCTGACTAAGGTAAAATGTTTTTAGGGTCAGTAGACATGTTATGTAGATTTGCCGAACAAAGGTCATTTTGCGCGCACGTGCTTGCAAGAGCGCGCACGTGCAACACGTTAAAAGACCGATTTAATTGATACAGGCATAACTTTTTGCATTTTTGATGAAATTCTTTGAAACTCATAATATAAGGATATATTAGTGGCAGTGACAATATGATATGGTCAAAATAGCAAGATCTCACGCGCATGCACGTGCGCTTTGCTCTGATTGGCTGAAACTAAAGTCTCGATATCTTTCTTGTTTTTTGACGAAATCCTTTGAAATTTTGAACATAGCCATGCATTACGATATCCTACAACATGACATATACCAATTATCATGAAAGCACGTGTATGCAAGTGCGCTGCAATCTGATTGGCTGAAAATTTGCATAGCTATAACTCCCTTGGTTTTCAACCAAACAGGATGGGATTTGGAACATAGATATATATAATGGACTTCTACAAGAAGGTATGGTCACCATGCACATGCATACACGTGCGTGTACGTGCACTGCAATCTGATTGGCTGAAACTTTAAACAGCTATAACTCCCTTGGTTTTCAACCAAACAGGATGGGATTTGGAGCATAGATATATATAATGAACTTCTACAAGAAGGCATGGTCACCATGCACATGCATACATGTGCGTAAACGTGGGCTGCAATCTGATTGGCTGAAACTTTGAACAGCTATAACTCCCTTGGTTTTCAACCAAACGGGGTGAGATTTAGAACATAGATAGATGTAATTGACTTCTACAAGAAGGTATGGTCACCATGCTCATGTCTGCGTGCACGTGAAATGGGTAAAATAAAAAATACACTTGAATGAGCGTTTTTTTGTTTTTTTTATACTTTTGGATTAAATACATTAATATTTAGCATATTAAAATATATAGATTGTGTAGACAATATGACATGGTCATTACGCATTCGCACGTGTGCAATGATAAAATTTGAATGAACATGGTACACTTTTAGGTAATCGTTGTTAAAGTCTCAAATGCATAGAGTTTGTCTTATTTTATTACGCTTTCAGGGAATATGACTATAAAAGGGAGTTGGGGAGCGTTTGGGGAACATCTGTAACGGTCCCCGTTACAATTAGCACTAGTTAAAATTAATGATTATTTTTTTAAAATATGAAGAGAAAAGTAGTTATGAATTATCACAATAATTTGCTGTAAAATCAATAGACAATGAAGTTTCACAGATCGAAAAAAAAATACAGCTGTAATATACTTATAAATATTTTAATTTCATGTGTAACTGTTATATGAAATATAAATAAACATTGTAAAAGTGGAATTATTTTTTAATATGATAGTTTGGATTTTGAGAATTTTAAATAATTTTTGAAAATGAAATTTTGATTAGCTTAAAGTGTTAATTTTAAATATGACTATATTTATATATAATGGAAATGTTAAATTTGAAAGTCATATCCAGTAAATTAGATGTTTAAACAAAATTTTGTATTTTTAATGCATTATTACAGCAAAACAGAAGTCAGATGCTCTGCGCCGTCCATCAACTGGGGGGGGGGGTCCTAAACCTTCCTCCCCTACACCAGTGGAGACCGAACTGCTCAACAGCATGGAGGATAGACCAACTCTTTGTGGTCTGTCCTCTGGTCATGATACATAGGAAGGTATTTAAAACAAGAACGGTCATAAAGTTTGATTTTTAATTTGTGTAAAATATCTATGTTGTATTCTTCACAGATTGATTATTAAACAGTTTAGTTTTAAATTGGAAATACTAACTATTTAAAGAAATGTGTAACTAATATTACTATCGGTGAATTGTCATAATATTTCAAACATGAATGTCAATTTTTTTAAAACAATGTACTATTCATTTGCAGTAATTCTTGGCATTGTACCACCTGCATTAGACTTTAGCAGTACTGCCACTGGTGTAGCGGGTACGTCTTCACTTGCCCCCAACAACGAAGACAATTTATGTGGTAAAACATTTGTTAGGCCAAAACAAAATAGTCTTGTTTCCTGCTACCCGACCTACCCATTTTTTTTGCATTCGACCCTAAAGTTTTTTTTTTTAGTTTTGGGGAAAAAAATCGGGATTTATTGGAATTTCATGTTCCAAAACTGAAAAAATACATATATTCAAGTGGTATTTCATAAAATTCTATGTTTTAAATATGGACTTTCATAAAATACCACTTGAGTTGTGCATCAAAAGACATGAAATTTAATTTGAAAAGGCAATATTGACCTATGACATGTTTAATTTGATCTTGTATTAGTTCACATCCAAGAAATACTGTCAGAAAAATATAAGATAAAAAAATAAAATAATTTTCCTACCTACCTACCCTATTTTTTTTCAGGCTGGTATCAGGAAACAAGACTATTTTTTTGGCCTTATTAATCTGAATACACTGCACATTTCAATATTTCATTCAAATCTATTGCCAAGGCATGGAAAACCAGATATCAATGTAGACAGGTTACAATTTGTGAAAAAATGAATGACATATTTGATTAATTCAAGTTCTGTTCAACTTTTAAATGTTGGCCAGCATGTATGAGCACTGTAAATGAGTAGAGTATAATTATATGAATGATGCATTTTTTATGTTTGGAAATTTTTATCATTTAAAAGGACGTATTACATTTCATTATATTCCTTTTAGGTATTTCATGCACAAATATTGAGGTTCCTATAGATGACAGCACCCAGTTTGGTCAAATTATTGATTTACACCTGCCATCAACTATCTCGACTAAGGCATCCAAAAGGAGGAAAAATATGGAGGGCGAGGAGATTCAGACCTTTAAGGTGGAGAGGGATAAGTACATCCAGGAGATAATCAAGCTAAAGGAAGAAGTGGAATATTATAGAATAAAAACATTGTATTTCAAAAAGAAAATCAATGAAATGTCACAATCAAACAGAAGTTCAGAGCAATAAGAATAATTTACAGTTATGAGTATTTGAACCATTTTGAAGTTCATTTACGCATTGAATGAATATTTTGGTATTGTTTGAAAATCAATCATTCTAGATCTGTCATCTGTATTTCTGTCATTAGCTAAATCTTTATCTATTTGGCAAAACAACATGAACTAGTGCTAATTGTAACGGGAACCGTTACAGATGTTCCCCAAACGCTCCCCTACTCCCTTCTGGTGCCATATTCCCTGTAAGCTTCATTAAATAAGACAAACTCTGTGCATTTTTTACTTTAACAACGTTTTCCCAGAAGGATACCAATTATATTAAAATTTTAGCATTGCACCCGTGCGCATGTGAATGCATGTGCGTTATGACCATATCATCTTGTCTAAATAATCAATATATTTTAATATGCTATATATTAAAGCATTCAGTCCAAAAGTACTAAAAATTGCTCATTCAAGTGTATTTTTAATTTCACTCGTTCCAAATGCACGCACGTGCGTGTACGTGCATGATGACCATACCTTCTTGTAGTATTCCCTTATATCTATTTATGTTCTAAATCCCATCCTGTTTGGTTGAAAAACAAGGGAGTTATAGCCATTTCAAGTTTCAGATTGCAGCACACTTGCATGCGCTGATTTCATGAATTTTTTCTATATCATATTGTAGGATATCCTAATACATGACTATGTTTTAAATTTCAAAGAATTTCGTCAAAAAACAAAGGAGATATAGCCATTTAAAGTTTCAGCCAATCAGATTGCAGCACGCGCGATGCGCATGCTTTCATGAAAATTCTTATATATCATGCTGTAGATCTTCATAATGTAGGACTATGTTCAAAATTTCAAAGGATTATGACAAGAAACAAGAAAGATAGTGAGACTTTAGTTTCAGCCAATCAGAGCGAAGCGCACGTGCATGCGCGTGAGATCTTCCTATTTTTACCATGCCATCTTGTTTATACTACTAAAGTATTCTTACATTATGAGTTTCAAGAATTTCATCAAAAAATAGAAAAGTTCCGGCAATATCCATTATATTGGTCATTTCACGTGTTGCACGTGCGCGCTCTTGCAAGCACGTGCGCGCAAAATGACCTTTATTCGGCAACTCTACATAACATGCCTACTGACCCTAAAAAGGTTTCACCTAAGTCGGATGTGTAGTTTACAAGATCACTCGTGGACAAAATTTTCCTAGGAAGAAGAAAAATAATAATAATAATAACTAGTGCTAATTGTAACGGGAACCGTTACAGATGTTCCCCAAACGCTCCCCCAAATCCCTTTTGATGCCATATTCCCTGTAAGCTTCATTAAATAAGACAACATCTGTGCATTGTTTACTTTAACAACGTTTTCCCAAAAGGATATCAATTATATTCAAATTTTAACATTGCATGCGTGCCCATGTGAATGCACGTGCGTAATGATCATATAATCTTGTCTACACTTTCTATATATTTAAATATACTTTATATTGAAGCATTTAGTCCAAAAGTATTTAAAAAATCACTCATTTAAGTGTATATTTAATTTCACTTGTTCCAAATGCACGCACATGCGTGCACGTGCATGATGACCATACCCTCTTGTAGGAGGCCCTTATATCTATCAATGTTCTAAATCCCATCCTGTTTGGTTTAAAACCAAGGGAATTATAGCCATTTCAAGTTTCGGTCAATCAGATTGCAGCACACATACATCCACGTGATTTCAAGAATCTTTTTCTAAATCATATTGTAGAATATCCTAATGCATGACTATGTTTTAAATTTCAAAGCATTTCGTCAAAAAACAAAGGAGATATAGCCATTCAAAGTTTCAGCCAATCAGATTACAGCACACGTGCATGCGCGTGATTTCTTGAAATTTTTTGTATATCATATTTCAAGATATCCTAATGCGTGACTATGTTTTAAATTTCAAAGCATTTCGTCAAAAAACAAAGGAGATATAGCCATTTAAAGTTTCAGCCAATCAGATTGCAGCACACGTGCATGCACGTGATTTCATGAATTTTTCTATATATCATGTTGTAGGATATTGTAATGCATGGCTATGTTCAAAATTTCAAATTATTTCGT